TTTGTCTATGCAAATGTCATTGGATGTGCCTTCTCATTTTTTTCTCTTTTTCTTGCTTCCGCCTTTGGACGTACGAATCTTCACCCACACAAGTATTTTTACCTCTTCATTCATGATATGGTACGTCCTACCTTTTAATTATTTTTTTCCTTTTGCACATAATCATTTTAAATTGATAAGTCAATTATATTTTTATTATAGACGAGGGAATTTTCTCCAAATCAATATCTTGCTTTTCAAGTTATTAATATTCAAGGCGTTTGTTCCTCTCGTAAAATTTGAGGTGATTAGGTTATCGGCTCATCTTTACATATTGTAACAAATTTTCTAATGAAATTGGAAAAATAAATTTCACAAGTGGCGTTCCAAACTTTTTGCCCTATTGAGGAGTAAGAAATTTCAAAGTTATAAGAGTTGTGTTTGGTCATAATTTTTACAAAGAAAATTTAGATTTGAATGTATTTTTTTAAACGTTCGTAGTTGCAATAAGTTTTCTTTTTTGTTTCGAGATTGGCTTGGTCTTCAGTCTACCCTAATGAAACCTAAAATCTCACTCCCTCGCTTTCTCCTCTTGATAGACTAGCTATGATTTATATCCCTGATTTCAAAATATTAGCAAAATCATCCGACTTAACTAATTTATGGATCTAAATGTACCATTGAATCTACTCTAAAAGAGTAACATCACAAAATGAATAATCACATAATGTTATATATTAGATATCATATACAAACTATTACAAATATTTTTACACTTAATTTGAATTTCTGAAGGTGGAGTTGGAAAATGAAATTGTGTTGGTTATAATTTTTGCATATAATAGTAGTTATTTAAATGTACTTTTTCTATAAAAAAAAAACATGAAATATGAAAATAAGATTCGGGTGTTCTTCAAATTATATTCGAAATTTTTATGATCAAATGTTGATTTTCAAATAAAGTGAAAAATTCTCATGGTCAAACAGATCCAACACATAAAACTAAAATTTTGACTAAACTAAACAATATAATTTTCTGATAAAAGCCTTCATATAAGATGGTTCTGCCACTACCTCAACCCCCCACCTTTTGACCATCCCATCGCTACCACCCCTAAACTCTCATTTATTCTACGTTTTCGTAGTTGGTATAATCAATTTTCATTTCAAGAAAATTCTCTTAATATGGGAGATATATAAGAAGAATGTTTGACATAAATGGCCCAAAGCATAATCATTCTTTTCTTATCATCTCTTTATTTCTTTTGGGACCATAAGCATTATTGACACCATCCACGTGAATCCAAAGCATAATACATTAGTAAAAAATAAAAAATAAGCATAAATCATAATACAACAACAATTAATCTGAGAATATCGACCCAACTATCAAAAAAACCTAGAAATTATAACATTCACACACAAAAAAAAAAAATATACTACTACATAAGTACTGAATCTACATAAATTATTTTGAATATCGTAAATATCCTTCCTTCCTCATCATCGACACATGAATAGTACTCATTGTTCATATCGCTTCATAAAATACGAAACGTATTAGTATTAGTAAGTATATAACATGGGGAGTATTATTGCAGATTATGATGGCTCTATTGCTATCTGCATGTTCAGCAGCAGCAACAATTGGATATGTAGGAAAATATGGACAGATTCGTTCAGGGTGGATGCCTATTTGTGATTCTGTTACAAAATTTTGTCATAAAATGACAGCCAGTGTTATATTCTCTATTTTTGGGGTTATTTTCTATTTATGTCTTACTATTATATCCGCATATCAATCCAGAAAAATTCAAGTTTGAACTTAATTATTACCCCAAGAAATTAAAAAAAAAAATGGCAAAGTATATAATAGTAGTAAAATTTTAATTTTACCTTGTAGTATCAAGGAAGGTAAAAAAGAAAAACTAATTATGTAATGCAGATGCAGTAATTATTAAATATTTACAGTTGTTGATTGTACGATATTTGGTGGAATTATAAATGACTTGTATTTAATTTATTTTTACTTCTATCTATATGTACGCAGTGAAGTAATTAAATTCTTGCAGCTACTCCCTGGCTATGTTTGTACGTAGTACATTTTTAGAGGCAGATATTTTCTTTAATTTCCTTGAACTTTGCAATATTTTAGCTATTTTCTTTATTTCAATTTATATGAAATTATCTTTTATTCGTTGGTAACAAGATTGAGATGTTTTCATATTTAATAAAAAAACTATAGATATATAAATGTCATGATATGTTTAAAATTAATAAGTGTTGGAAAATTTATAACTACACAAATGTAGTATAACATAATTAATATTACAAATCTTAAAAAAATTATTCTCTTGATCTCAATTTATGTGACAAACTTTCTTTTTAGTCTATCCCAAAAAAGGGCCACCTTTTTATTATTAGAAACAACCTAATAAAATGAAATATTTATATTCAAACAAATACTGATAGATAAATAAGTAGCTAGTAAAAGTATAATCATGTCAACGTAATGAGTCATACGCCTTATTTATTTAGTGTGTTTGTCCCGAATAAAGGGTAGTAAACTAAACTCCATGGCTATTAGTCAGTGTTATATTTTTTTTACATGTCTTGAACCTTGAGTTTGATATAAGTTATTGAGCTAAGTCAGCTCGGATAGACACTCTTAACATAGTGATAGCGTACGCTAGTCACTTTTTAATTATATAATTATTATAGAGTTTTTAATTGTGAAATTTAAATTTCATGATGATGGCAATTTTTCAATTTTGAAATTAAATCTAAAAAGTGGCTACATATTTGTAAATTTTATGACATTCTTAATTAGTGTCATATTGTCCGCTTTAATTATATACTCACACGATTGTTTATTCAAAAAATCATCACTATTAAAATTATGTTACACCGTATACATAATATCATCTCTTTCTTTTAGGTACCAAAATATAAAACTTTTGTTCACACGTCCAACACCAATTACAAATATATTATAGCATTTCAAACTCTGACTTGCCTCTTTCTTTAATGCTTAGCCGATGATAATTCATATATAGGAGTATCAATTATGTCCATTGCTGCCAATTACACGCAACATAACATAAGGACAGTAACAATTGATAAGCGGAAAGAAAGGAGTTGGGAATATAAATAAACGTCAAAAGTCAGAAGTAATTTATGATAAAAAAAATTATTCGTAGGAATAATTGTACAAGATCACACAAAAGTCATCGTTAGGGTCTATTATGAAACTCTTGAGAATCCTAGCTCACACTCAGGCCGTCTTAATTAGGCTACTAAAGTCATCGTTAGGGTCTCATATTTTTAGAAGCCCTCATATTATTAAAAATAATAATACTTATAAATGATATTTGTTAAAAATAAATTATATATACTATGAGTATTATGCTTTCTACTAAGGAAATTGCATATGAAATGAATATAGAACATGAATTTCGTAATAAACAATTTGATGAAAATATTGATAACGAAATCACAAAGTCCCTTGAAATTAGAGTTGACTACTTTATATATATTAGATCAAATTATCTTTTCACTTCAAAATAGATTTGAACAAATTGAAGCATATGAAAATATTTTTTGTTTCTTATTTTGTGGTAAATTAAGATCACTAGATGATGAGAATTTAAAAACATATTGTCATTTGTCTCGACCTTGAACTTTCTTAACACATAATAGTCATTCTGCTATTGATAGTTTAGATTTATTTTTTGAATTAAAAGTGTTAAGAGAAATAATACAAGAAGAAGACAATGGTCTAAAAAATTTTAGCATAAGATTTGAGTTGGAAATTGTCCATAGGGGAAGTACTTATAATTTACAATATTGCTGACCAAATTTACTCATTCTTTCGTTTTAGTTGTCATATTTATTTTTCATACATTTTTTTTATCTTAAAAATATTAATAAAACAATAACTAATTTTCCCTTATATCTTTAATCTTTTACCATAGTAATATCTCTTTTTAATAAATGTTCTTTTATTTATGAAAAAAATGAGTCAAAAATATTTTTGAATTATGCAAAATTAAATAAAATACACTAAGTTAATAATTTGGTTTAAAAAATATTTTTACCGTCAATAGTTTAGTCTAAAATAATTTTTTTTAAAAAAATTAATAAATAAATCCAACTAAAAGAAGACCGATCCAACTCAATTTTATAACTTTTCGATGAATGATAATCTATCAATTTTTTATCATATTGAAGAATGTTTTTGGAGTTAGACCTATGAAAAACCTGTCTTGGCTTTTTGTTAATATCAAAATAATTATCAATAATTTTCTTTCTCAGTTTATTGGTATGTCAATAAAAATAAAAACCATTCACTCTTTGTCATAATTTATTTGATTAAATTTGACTGAATACGAAATGTAAAAAATATGAAAATATTTTGCAGTGTTTCAAAACTATTCATAAAAGGAGTATACCTTTATAGACTTTTTGCCAAATAAGAGAATCCAACATGCGTAAAATATTGATGATATCTATTGACATTGCTTTGGCATTTCAAAAAGGAATATTAGATGCATCAATGAAACTTTATTTCCAACAACAACAACATACCCATTCTATTATCACAAGATTAAATGTATGTAAATTTTATACTATTTTTTTCAAAAGATAAAGAAGTTTTCTCAATAAACGCTAGACAAAAAAAGGTATATTTTACAAAATAAATTTAAAAGGAAAATTATATAAAATAAAAAATGTGACAAGAATATCAAAGAAAAAAAATTGATAGTGAAAATATAGTACGAAGAACGAACATAAAACAACAAAAACTTGAGCTATTAGCAAAAACTTATTGCCAATTTTCTACTGTCAATCAATTTTGTCTAGCTAACATAAAGTATGCTTTGTCAAATTTCGATCTAATATTTGAAATCTCTCTTATCAATGAGGAAAGGTCCCTTCGCACTTAGAAAGTTGTTCTAAAATGCTCTAAAATAAAATCATGACCCCGCCTCCCAGAGAAAGAAATCGCCTCTAACTTTCTGCTAATCCTCTATTCTAATTTCCAAGCTCTCAAAATAGCACCCATGCACTCCCACAAACGATGCTAAATCTTGTTCCTTTGGTACATGAAAATATTCCACCATTTTGGTAACCAGATCATAAGAGTAGACTTGTCTGAGACCACAAAGATGAGTTTTTAAAACAACGACGAGAAGCTTATGATCGTTCAACATTTCCATCAGCATTGTTTTTCCGGAGAAAGGTTCTAAATTGAACTTCTTAGTCCAAGAGTATGAACTATTTTCATTCACGAGCATCCATATCTCAGTATCCTTAGTACGATCCTCAACAGAGACCATCATCGCAAGTGATCCTCTCAAAACCATAAGCTTTCTGTGAACAAGTTGGCGATCATCAGGAATATCTATAAGTTTGAATCCATCCTTAATCAGATCAAAGCAAATAACATATTCCACCTCGCTTCCAGCCAGCCAATACATAAAACCATTCACAGAAATCTGAGGTTCCGAAGAACCAGTTAGGGTAGGAAGAGTGAAAGATACGGTTTTCCATGAACCTGAACTCAGGGTATAAAACCCAAGCAACTTTCGTTGATTCATCATCCCTCAACATCTAAAAGGGGACTTTCAAAATTTTATATTCATCTCTTTCTTTGAGGTACCAAAATATAAAAAAAGTGTTCACACGTCCAACACCAATTACAAATATATTATAGCATTTCAAACTCTTGGCTTGCCTCTTTCTTTAATGCTTACCCAATGATAATACATATATAGGAGTATCAATTATGTCCATTGCTGCCAATTACACGCAACATAACATAGGGACGTAACAATTGATAAGCGGAAAGAAAGGAGTTGGGAATATTGGGAATATAAATAAACGTCAAAAGTCAGAAGTAATTTATGATAAAAAAAATTATTCGTAGGAATAATTGTACAAGATCACACAATCCTTTCTTTTTCATCTAATATGAAACTCTTGAGCATCCTAGCTCACACTCAGGCCCATCTTAATTAGGCTACCAAAGTCATCGTTAGGGTCCCATATTTTTAGAAGCCCCCATATTATTAAAAAGAAAATTACTTATAAATGATATTTGTTAAAACTAAATTATATATACTATGAGTATTATGCTTTCTACTAAGGAAATTGCATATGAAATGAATATAGAACAATTTGATGAAAATATTAATAACGAAATTACAAAGTCCCTTGAACTTAGAGTTGACTACTTTATATATATTAGATCAAACTATTTTTTCACTTCAAAATAGATTTGAACGAATTGAAGCATATGCAAATATTTTTTGTTTCTTATTTTGTGGTAAATTAAGATCACTAGATGATGAGAATTTAAAACATATTGTCATTTGTCTCGACCTTGAACTTTCTTAACGCATAATAGTCATTCTGCTATTGATAGTTTAGATTTATTTTTGAATTAAAAGTGTTAAGAGAAATAATACAAGTAGAAGACAATGGTCTAAAAAAATTTAGCATAAGATTTGAGTTGGAAATTGTTCATAGGGGCAGTACTTATAATTTACAATATTGCTGACCAAATTTACTCATTCTTTCGTTTTAGTTGTCATATTTATTTTTCATTCATTTTTTTATTTTAAAAATATTAATAAAACAATAACTAATTTTCCCTTATAACTTTAATCTTTTACCATAGTAATATCTCTTTTTAATAAATGTTCTTTTATTTATGAAAAAAATGAGGCAAAAATATTTTTGAATTGTGCAAAATTAAATAAAATACACTAAGTTAATAACTCGGTTTAAAAAATATTTTTACTGTCAATAGTTTAGTCTAAAATAATTTGATATTTTTAATTTGATAAATAAATCCAACTAAAAGAAGACCGATCCAACTCAATTTTAGTATAACTTTTCGATGAATGATAATCTATCAATTTTTTATCGCTTCCAAATGTATCCCATTTTTGCCCTCAATTTTGCATATCCATTTTCTAGATTTTCACCTAAACTGATATTCATTATTTCCTTTCTTAGCTCATTTAAAATACCTAAAGAAACTTTAATCAATCAAACGACTAAAAGGGTCATATGAATTGAACAGAATTTACTACAATATTATTATTTCTGATACACTAATAACTTTTGCAAGAATAATTAATAATAGTAACTATTTCTCCATAAAATTTAGTTTCTTCGTATCCAATAAAATGTAACACAAATATATTAACTACACTTATGAAAAGAGGTGTTGGGGGTTGGTTGGTTGGGGTTGTTGAAAGGAATTTACTCTTTTTATTGAAACTGTATTTATAAAAAAAAATTAGAAATTTAAAAAGGGCTAAAATATAGAGTAAATTATGGCTCATCGAAAGGTTGAGTTGTTTTGCTATTGTGATTTTTGTGTTAGTAGTGTGAAAGTTTGATGGTAACGTATTTTTATTTTTGGAAATAAATTTATAATATATAATTTTAATAAAATCATAATTCTGTGCTCATTTATGAAATTTACCCCATAACTACTCTATTCTTATCTTCTCCTTAAATACTAACAACAAAAATTAAATTTAACCTCCTATTTCACACAACTCTCTGGTCCTTTTTTATGCTTTGATTTTATTTTAAAAAATTTACCTACAATTTCTTTTTCTCAATTATTCAGAATGGAGAGATTAGAAGCCAAGATTAAGCATAACCCTTCTCCCAAAACTCAAAAAGTTGTGTTAATTTTTCAAATTATTTTGAGAATTTTGGGATTTGCTTTCTGTTTAGGTGCTGTTTGGAGAATTATGACTAGTAAACAAGTTCTCTTTCTTGGCCTTGATGCCCGTTACACCTATTCTCCTTCAATGAAGTAAGTAATTAAAAAAATTATAATTAATTAGTACTAATTAATTTAGATTGAATTTCTTTTTTTTTTAAATGATAATTTTTTACCCTTAATTTGCAGATTTTTTGCATATGCAAATATCATTGGATGTACCTCATCTGTTGTTTCTCTATTTCTTGTTCTGATTTGTTGTTATAAAAAACATCTTCACTCCAACAAGTACTTTTTTTACTTGTTCCTCCATGATTTGGTACGTTCCCTCCTTAATTTATTTTATTGACGAGCGATTAAATGTGTAACTTTCTTTATTATTATTATTCCCCTTTGTACTATTTTCTCCTTTAAATTTTCAGCTTGATCATTTCCTTCGTAGTTTTCACTCTCTTAAATTACAGATGATATAAAATCTAGTGCTAATTTTCCTACAATGCTAAAAAAATAATTGTAAATGACATGCATAATAGTCAAATGAAAAGCTTAAAAAGGGCGTTAACATTAGCGTATAATAAGACATGTGAAATCTCTTGACCGTCAGATTTTCAAATTTTAAGATGAGGAAAATACTTTGTCCATTTTATTTTAATTGATCTTTATATTAAAAAAATATTATTTATCTTACCTAATCAAGAGAAATAACTATATAAGGATTCAAAGTATAATTAATAAAGTGAATTTAGTAAAATAAATTCCTAAATGAATATTTTCAAGTCAATATGAGTCTAGTAAAATGAAACAGACAGAATATTAAATTAAATTTCAATCCTAGTCAAAGATCCTTTAGAAAGAAAAAAAATCAACGAAAACATTCGTCTATTAATTCATAATATGTCCAAGAAGCCAACAATATCATCTACAATTAGCTTATAAATGATTTGATTATGTAAATATATTTTTTATCGGTCAATTCATAAAACTTAAAATAGGTAGTTTCTTTAATAGTAGTTAAAATTTAATTATTGTATTAATTAAATGGCAGTTTGTGTTTGGATTACTGGAAGCTGGATGTGCAGCAGCAACATCAATAGGATATGTGGGTAAATATGGGCAAAAACATTCTGGGTGGAATCCTATATGTAACTTTGTTCCTAAATTCTGTCACAAAGCTACACTCAGTCTAACTTTATCTTACATTGCTATTATTTTCTACCTTTGCCTCACTATTATCTCAGCTAACCAATCAAGACACATTATTAAGTGAATGATAATCAATATGTATTTCACTAATTTATGCGTGATTAATTAGTGTTTCATGTAATGTATGCCTAAAGAGAATGGTGTACTTTATGGTGTACTTTGAGATAAATGGAAGAAACTATAGCCTTTTATTACTATTCTGTGTTTAAAATTTTTATTTTCTATTTGATATCTGATATTCACATTGAGGCCCGACTAATTCTGAACGGATTGAAAAGTTTCACATTGAGAGGTTAAGTGCTTCCAAACAAAAACGATTATTTTGAGTTTTCCGTCATATTGGATTCATTAAAATCTCTTAGAAGTATTTTAAATGGCAGGAATAGTATTCAGAGGTTTGCCTCTCATAGAAGGGGCAAAAGCCCCTTAATTATCATGAAAAATAAGCATCATAAATTTGTATTTTGAAAAAAAATAAAAATTAAGTGAAGAAAATATATATATATATATATATATATATATATATATATATATATG